GGAGGATGGAGAGAGAGAGAGGGGGAGAAACAGAAAGAAGAAGGGGGGAAAAACAGACAGATTATTGAAAAGGATGAGCTAGTATGTTTGTAGCAGCTTGTGTTTACGTATGTACAGAGAAAAATCATAGCTGGAGAGAGCATGAAGAGAACAAACAAGCTCGTGATCCTTCCTCCGGTGAGAACAGCCACACACACACACACACACACAGAGCATGAGAAGGTCAGACTGAAACACAAGCATTTCAACAGTCATTGAAAAAAAAGAGAACATATTAAAAATAAAGTAAATAATAATAATATAATAAAAAAAGAAAAAAATAGTCCATCTACAATTATTTTGTCCCTATTTAGGTAAGGCTTCCTATGTCAATTGAACGATTGTGTGCATGATTCAATGTATGTTCAATAACAACGTAAATGTATTTGTTTCTCAGTTTGAAAAGTTAGGTCCACTTCCCCTTTAGCTGCTTTGATGCTTGGCCCTTTCTGTCTCACGGATAAAGAGAGGGAGATGTGCATGTTTGAGAGATGTGAGACAGAAAGGCTTGATTGCGAGGGACAGAGAGAGAGAGAGAGAGAGAGGTGTAGAGGGAGGGTGATGAAGTAGATGAGATAAGGAGTGAGTGAGAGAGGAAGGATAGAGTCGCAGACTGACACACAGAAAGAGTGCTCATAAAAATCAATGCAGGAGTCTGAAGACCTGTCCTTCAGTAAGAGAAGACCTACAAGTGCTGGATCAGAGACAGAGAGAGAGGCGCTCTTACCACTTAAATAAGAAAACCTGTAGTATATCACTGACAGATGAAAAGAAATATATACAAAGCAGATCACAGATTTCACTAAACGTAATTTAAAGCTGAAGACAGCGATTTTTTTCTGTTAAAACACTTCCTCCTATGCTTTACTGACACAGCAGTTCAGCCACTGGTGTGATTTTGGGGTGAAACTGCCTGATTCCCTGACCAATATAGCAGACTGAGGAAGTGTTGAAGAAGAAACTGGTTTTAAAATCATATTTTTGGTCATAATTGTTGACACAAGTGGCACAGAAATTACAAACTTTAACTTAAACTGAATGAGAGGATCATGTTGTCATCCATATTACCATATGAACACTACATGACATATGTGTTATATAAATAAAACAAGTTATATAAATTCATTTTTACATTTTATTACAAATATTTGCTAACAACATGATAATTCAACATCCAACTCATCAAATCCCAATGAACAAACTACTGATGCACCCATACTGAAAATGTGGCTAATACCAATATTCAATAATTAGTTATGATTGATAAGTGAAAGTTGGATCAGTACAGTTGGATAAAAGTTGAATCAATAATCAACAGAGAAGAGTGGAATACAACAGCATTGAACATTGAGTTGAGTATAACAGAACAGAACAGGACAGTAGAACAGAATAGAACATACAGCATAAAGTATAGCATAGAATATAGTCAAATAGAATAGAATACTAAAAGATAATAGAATAAACATGGGAAAGTGCAGCACAGTAGAATAAAGAATAAAACAATAGAAGAGTGCAATATCCAGTAGAGTGGAGTACAGTAAAGTAAGAGAAATAAGAGTATATATATATATATATAAAATAAAAATTATATGTATGAAAATATATTATATTTATGAAAATATGTATACGTATGAAAATACTAGTGTTCTAATAATTTTGGCCACCACATATACATATACATATGCATACAGTGCCCTCCATAAGTATTGGAACAGTAAAGACAAAATTGCTGTTTGCTGTTGAGTCAAGACATTTGCAAATATGATTAAAAGATGAATATGAGACAAAACTACAGAATGTCACATTTTATTATTAGTTGTTTCAACACATAAATGTTTTACCAAATAAAAAGGACAGCACTTTAGAGTTCATCCCACTATCTGATGTGAGCATAAGTATTGGAACAGTTGAACTATAAGGCATAGATTAAAAGCTATTATTTAGTTGCAGATCCCTTGCCTGCAATCAGAGCACCAGACTCTTGGTCTTATCCTTTGAAATGCTTTTACCAGCCTTTAATGCAGCCAATTCCAACTGTTGCTTGTTTTGGGGAGTCTCCTCTTCAGCTGGTGAAATTCATGTTCAATCAGATTTAAATCTGGAGATTGACTTGGGCAATCTAAGACTTTACATTTTTTTGCCCTGATAAACTCCTTGACTGAACTGGCAGTGTGTTTTGTTTGCATCTTGCTGTGTAGCCTCTGTAATTCTGTGTCAAAGTCTCCTGCAGACAGTAGATTGTCAAAGCATCTCCCCAGCTTTCTGGATTTTGTTGGTTATCAAAACTCTACTGACTTTTGCAAACTCTAATCTTGCTGTGTAGCCTCTGTAACTCTGTGTCAAAGTCAAAAGATGTCAAAGAACATCACCCCAGCTTTTTGGAGGTTGTTGGTGATTTTACAGACACGTATTTTAGGGTTCTTTTTCACAGCTTTTATGATTTGCCTGTCATCAACTGCTGTTGTTTTTCTCAGCCGATCAGGTCGTTCTTGGTTGCTGATGTCGCCGGTGGTCTCCAAACTGTTGATTTCTCCATGCCCTTTGTTTTTGCTATAGCTCTAATTGACTTCCTCTTTTCTTTTAGCATCCAAATTGCTTGCTTTTCTCTCAAAATCAGCCTCCTCGTCTTCATCCTGGTTTGTGCGTGTCATCATCGAATGTAAGACTCAGAATGCAAAAGCAATGGATATAACTGATATGACACATTCCCTGCTTTTAATATCTGAACAATTAATGCAACAGGATACAGCTGATCACTCAGAAAGACCTGTGAAGCAACTGTTCCAATACTTATGCTCACATCAGATAGTGGGATGAACTCTAAAAGTACTGATCTTCTTAGCTGGTAAAACATTTATGTGTTGAAACACCTAATAATAAAATGTGACATTCTGTAATTTTGTCTCATATTTATCTTTTAATCATATTTACAGATTTCTTGACTCCACAGCAAACTACTTACTTATACTTATAGAGGGCACTGTGTATATGGGTGATTCTTAGACTATGGGCACTTTTATGTTCTTTGGTCATATTTATAAAAATACATATAATTTTGGACAAATTCCTCTTTCTTAGTCAAACTAACAATAAAACCACCTTAAAAACTTTTTACTACCTTTCTATTATGATTTTTTCATACTTTTCAACCTCCTTATAGGTGTCAAAATGAGTGACAAAAAATATTGACCTTTTTCACGATATTCTAATTTTTTTAGATGTACCTCTATATATATGGGCAAAATTATTAGAAAACTACTATTTTCATCAGCTAAAAATGGTTTTAAGTCAGTTATTTCTATCTTTTGCTGTATTGCGTCAGGTCTCTTGAAGCATCTTGGAGACGTTGCCACAGTTCTTCTGGATTGAGTCTGTCTCAGTTTGTTCTGTTGAATGTGTTCCACAGAGCCTAATGGAAACCACTCTGCCTGCTTTTCCCTTCAGTAAACCTCTCCCTTTTCTCTCACTTACTTCAGTCTATCTCTGTCATACACAAGAACACACACTCACTCACGCAGGCAAACACACTGTTTGGAGCTTCCTAAAGACAGCTGCACTGTTCCCATTTCAGCTGAACAGGTCAACAGTGCTTAACCCTTCCCTCTACACACACACACACACACACACACAAACACACACACACACACGCACCCTCCACTGGCCCCTTAACATGTGCTAAGTAAAAACACAGCTTTGAGTTGTCAAGGAAACAGCAATAAATACACACAGTCCTCTGTCCATGCTCCATTTTCCCTGATAAATCTCTCTCACACTTTCTCTCCACCTTTATCTCTTTCTGTCTCTGTCCTTCTCTCTCAGGCTGCTCTGTAATTCACTCACGTCTCAGAGCTCAACATTCAGAGTTGTGGGTAATAGATCAGTGGAGAGAAACACATTATAGTAAGTAGAGCACAGAGTAAAGTTGAACATAAAGGGAACAGAATAGAATAGTTGAGTGTATTACAATAGAATAAAGTAGAACAGAGTAGAATACAGCAGCATTGAATAGTACAGAGAAGAACAGATTAAAAGTGGAAAATAACGGAGTTGAGTCCAGTAGATTAGAATGGGACAGAGTAGAGTGTAGCACAGAATTTAACAGAACAGAATGTAGCACAAACAGAACAGAATAAAACAGAGTACTGTCAAGTACAGTGGAATAGAATAGAATAGAACAATGAAAGGGTAGAGCAAAGTGGGGTAAAACAATAGATAATGTGAAGTAGAATAGAATATAATAGAATAATATAATAAAGTAGAATAGAATAGATTGAATTACAACAGCACTGAACAAGAGTGGAAGTGAAAAGAGTGGAGTACAGTAAAAAGGAACAGAACAGAAGTACAGTATAGTTGAACAGAATAAAAGAGTACAGAATAAAATAGTGTATTAGAACAGAATAGTAAAAAAATATATTAAAAAAGGGAAAGTGGAGAACAATAGAAAAACAGAAAAGTGTTAAGTGCAATAGAATGGAAAACAATACAGTGTAGTATAAGCATGGTAGAACGGAGAACAATAAAATATAATAATATAGAGTAGCATAAAATAGAGTTTAGCAGAGTGGAGTACATTAAAATATAATAGAGTGCAACAATAAAATAGCAAAAAGTGGGCAAGAAAATAACAGAGTAGAATATAACAGTGGAGTACAGTAGAATTAAAAAGAGCAGAACAGAATAAAAATAACAGAGCAGATTGGAGTAAAGCAGAATAGATAGAATGGAGAAGAACTGAACAGAATAGAGTAGAAAACAGAATAAATGAGTGCAAAAGAGGGCAATAACAACATACAAAATAAAACGTAACTGAGTAAGAGTAGAATTAACATACAATACAGAAGAACAGAATAGAATAAAGCAGAAAACAGCATAAATGGTACAAAGGTACATACCAGAAAAAAGTGCAGTTTCACAGATTTAGAATGGAATTGAATAGAACAGAGTAAAGTACAGTAGAATAAACAGAATAGAACAGAGTAGATGTCACGTTGCACACACACACGAGGGACGAGGAGACACTGGAGAATATGTTGACAGGACTTTATTTGCATAAACCACCAAGGAACCAAGGGAGACGAACACAGGAAGAGCTTCCACGAAGACGTACAACAGCGGACAGAGAACTAGGGACTGGGAACACTTTAAATACACACAGGAGGAGGGGATGACGAGACACACCTGGGATCCATGAACCATCATGGGGAACACCTGGGACAAATTAAACATGGGAAAGGAACACCTGGGGAGCAAGACACAGACAAAACATGGAACAGAGTCTGACAGTAGAGTAGAACAGAACAGAGTATAGTAGAATAGAACAGAACAGAACAGAGTAGAGTAGAATATAATAGAATAGAACAGAACAGAACAGAACAGAACAGAAAAGAGAAGAGTAGAGTAGAACAGAACAGAACAGAACAGAACGTGGGATCAGAGTAGAGATGGGTTGTGGTTTAGAGGCTGTTCCTCACAGAATTTACAGAACTGCAGCATTCAGAACACATCAGTGTCATGTGCCAGTGCTTTATCTAGACACTCTCTCTCTCTAATGCTTCCCCTCCCTCTGCCTTGTGTTTCTTTCTCATAGCCTCAGTTCCCTCTCCACACACACACTCAGATGAAAGAGAGGGGGTCTCTCTTTTATCATCTATCCACAGGCATCAGAGACCGGGAGTGATGAAATGATGCAGTGGGGTGTGTGTGTGTTTCTCCACAGCTCACAGTGAATGTAAACAGTTTTACGCAGAGGGCTACAGTCCTGTGTGTCATAGTGTCTTCTCCTGCACTAAATTATATGATTGTGCCATGTGATTATGATAAACAAACACAGCCTGGAGGAGTATGTAAAGAGTGAGGAGCATGTGTCTACGGCTAATTACACACCCCTTACAAAAACACACACTCACACACTGCCGAATTCACTGTGAGAATAAGCTCTAAAACACTCTTAAACTAACATACATTACACACTACAAAATATATTTAACCCCTTCAGCACACCCTGGACTGTGCAAACTAAGAAATTATTATTCCATGTTCTAACCATTAAGGTTTCAGGAAAATATGAAATGTTGCTCTTTCTTTGCTCTTCCCCAAACTTTGCAAAGCTGATGTAGCTTCTATATATAATTTTGTGGGAAAAATACTTAATCATGTTTTTTCCAATGGTGGGTTTCCCTTTTCCAGTGACCCCTCAGATTCTTTCAATTAAACCAGTGTGACAGTATTTTAAATGCCTCATTTAATGATTATTCTTCAGCCCCTCCCCCCCCAAAATAAAATAAAATAAAATAATAATATTATTATTTTTTTACACTAGCAACTAACCAACATGCTCAATATATATTTAGATCTGAATAAATTTGCTTTGACTTAAAAAACATATTTTACATGCCATGCAGTAGATTTACTTTGACATGCAAAAAGTATTTTTAGCGTTAAAAACATCACTTTTCTCATGCGATTCTCATTTCTCAACCCCAGGCAGCTGTACATTGATGGCCTCATTATTTCTGCTAAATTACTAATGCTATACATTAATTGTACATGTACATCACCTGTTAAAAGTTTGGGGTCAGTAAAAAAAAGTTTTTTGAAAGAAATTCAGTTAATTCAGCAAGGATATACTAAATTAATCAAAACTGACAGTAAAGACGTTCACATTGTTACAAAAATTATTTCCAATAAATGCTGTTCTTTTGGTTTCCACAAAAATATTAAGCAGCACAAATGTTTTCAACTGCGTAGTAGTAAGAAATAACAAGAAATGTTTCTTGAGCACCAAATCAGCATATTTGAATTTTTTTCTGAAGGATCATGTAACACTCAAGACTGGAGTAATGACTGCTGAAAATTCAGATTTGCATCACAGCAATAAATTACATTGTAAAATATATTAAAATTGACTATTTTTAATCAAATAAATGCAGTCTTGGTGAGCATAAGATTTAAAAATCTTATCAACCGTAAACTTTTGAATGTTACTGTACACTACAGAACATAATCTGAACACACAGAACATACTCCATAAACCCTACAAAAATACTGACAATATTCTATAAACATCCTCTAAAAACTATTAGATGAAAAGCCTTACTTTCAGTACTGTGCTGTCTGCTCTGTTAGAGTTTGTAGTTCATATAGGAATATTATTATAGAAATCTACATTCCTGTGTTTACATCGTAATGCTATTTTCCAACAGTGTTTCCCCTGCAAAGCTACATTTAAATTGACTTACATCCGTTTAGTGAATATAAATCTCATTATTTAACAAGTTTTATCACATTATTTTTTCATTGCCATAGGATGAAATGGTAATATGCAATTAAACAGACTGTCTGGGACATACACTCCTAAAGGCGCTTTCACAAACGCTAACCGGCGCTACAAACACAGACTAATTAAACCAGTAATGACTGGGAAATGCCATCATACATCACACTTTTACGAGGAGGTCTGAGAAAGCAATGACACAAATCATATCTTCAGCAAAAAATGTAACGCCTAGAGCAACAGAGAGAGACTGAGCATGGAGGTTTATTAAATATGGTGGTGTTGACAGTAAATAAAATTCACAGTAAATTCACATAGACAGTAAAGAGACATGAGAAAAGGCTAAATGAATTATTTCATGTTTTAAAATATAGCAGTCAATGCAAATATCAGTTTGCTCTTATTCATTATATTTAAGGTTTTTATACTGATACTTTATGAATGTTTCATTCATGTCATAAAACAATTTTAACGTCTAAAAAGATCAACAGCTCACAGAATTCCAGTAATGACTTGACCCAAGAAGAAAACTTCTTTCTAAACTTTCTACATTTTAACAAAATTTTTATATGCAGTGGACTATAATTTCATCACACTGTAATTTAATGAATGTCAATCATACATAGTTACACAAATGCAACAACAAACCACCCACACACACATGAATCTGAATAAAAACAACTTGCGCACACACCTCGAATGGCTGGAGCTCCTCCTGTTCTGTGTAGAACTCCAGCTGTCTGTCAGAGATGAACTCCACCACTGTCCAGCCTCCTATGCATGACTGACCAATCAGAGGCCGGAATCTCTGTAAAACAAATATCACAACCAGTCAGTCTCAACACTTCATCAGAAGACTTCATCACAAACTTTTCAAGACCAGACACTCTTGAACTCATGTGACTGTTCATTCAAAACATTATTGTTAAAAAAAATTTAAGTTAAAATGTATTCTTTACAAACATCATAAGTGACTCATAAATTTCATTTTGGGGAGTCGCACCACATTATTTTTTTTTACAAAAATAGGATTAGTGATATTTCAAGAGCTATTGACCTTGACACACAGTCTTGAGGGCCTGCAGGCATGAGGTCCTTCCTATGACAGAATTTCCCATTTTATCTTTTATATGCTTGTCCATTTGACCACTGGACTTTTGTTTAAATAATACGTTTTATTCCGGGTTTTTTTTTTTTTTTTTAAAAATCTGCATAAATTAGAATGATCATGTAACCCTGAAATAGCTGCTGAAAATTTAGCTGAATAAATTACACTTTGATATATATTAAAATAGAAATCAGTCACTTTAATCTGTAATAATATTTCACAAAATTACTAGTTTTACTGTTTTTAATAAATAAATGCACCCTTTGTGAGCATAAGAGATTTCTTTCAAAAACATTCTAAAATCTTACTAACGGCAAACTTTTGATCAATATTTTAATGGTATTTTTCTTTAATGTAGCTTTTTTTCCATTATGATATCAGATGCATCACTGTGACTCAACCAAACTTAAAATGAATTTTAAATCAGAAATTGACAACGTAATTAAAAATGTCATGTCATCGACCTATCCGCTATGTAGTGGTTAGCTGGTGAATTACATACATACAGTACCATACAGTAAGCATGTCAAACCCTGCACACTGTTGGACTGACCAATGTGCATGTGTGTGAGCCAATATCTTGTGAGAATTTAGTTATTCTTTCATTGATCAAGTCATATTCTCTATGCATGGTTTCTATTTATATAAATACTAGGCCAGCACACTCAAAGTTTCCATGTCTGGCTGCCTGTTTCATGTGTGTGTGTGTGTGTGTGTGTGTGAGCTCATGTAAGTCGATGTGTATTATGCAACAACAATTTTCATGTCTCTGAGGTATCCTGAAGTGAAACCTAATCTACATGCAGCCACGGTGTTATGGGATGTGTATACTGTATGTGTGTGTGGGTCAGGTTTGGCCTACATTGTTTGGACCAAATGCCTAGCCAGCATGCAAAACAACTTAATAAACATAAATAATGTCCTAATGAAAATGCAAAAAGGCTGGGGTTAGGTTTATGTCCAATGGAATAGAAAATATCATTAGCTCGATATAAAAAAAGGAAAGTCCCCAACAAGATAGAAAAACAAGTATGTGTGTGCTTTTGCAGAGGCCTGATGCATGTGATGACTTCAGCCAAACATCAGTCATCCAAAACCTCAATTCAGAAGTACTGTGTGCCAGTCTGACTATGTATGTGTGTGTGTGACTCATAAACCATGAGCTGGAGGGTAAGGGGACAAACAGAACGCGTGTGAGCTATTTTTAGACACTGTACTGTGTGCAGTGCACTCACATACACTCTGTCACACACACTGCACACAGTTGCACACGTTTACCGCACTGTGGTTTGAGACTCTGCTCTGTCAGTGAGGCAGACAGAGAAAGGACAAATATTCTTTTGCAGAAACAGCATATCGACTGTGACATAGATCTGGGCACAGTAAACGCATTTAATACATGCAAACACTAACAGATGAACTAATACAACCCTGCAACTAAATATTAATGAATAGACTAATTCAAAATACTATAGGCCTACATAAAAGAATCCAAGGTGAAGTGATTGACCAGGCTGATATTTAACCATTTTGTGACTGTTAACTTGTCATTGGCTTGTTATAAAAGAAGTGGTAGTCATTTCAGTTAGAAAATCATCAACATTATAATAATAAATATGTTCCAAATATTTCTTTAGCTATTTTAAGTAGGTCTCATTTACTATTAATAATTTAAATATAAGAATATAGCAGCATATATTGCCATCATATTGTCCTTCGTCCATCCTCCAGTGCAGATATCAGAGTTGGCTATTAAAAATCCTAATCAGCCGATCACTATGAAAATCATTAATGCATTATGTAAGGTGTCCATGCAAGAATAAAACTTTGTCTGGAGTATGCTAGCACAAAGGCTAGCCCCGTTAGCCATAAAACGAAGTCCAATCTTACTCTAATCATAAACTTAAATGAGATTCACTCCATCTTCAGTCCATGCATGTCTGTTTAATAACTCGCACACCATTTCCTCTCATGCTGAGAAGTTTCCATTGACTTCTGTCATTTTATAGTGAGCTACTGATATTTTCTACCCCCAACCCTAAACGTACCCCTCACAAGTAAGTGTGAAGACCGCAAACATGTGCACAACTTTTGATGACCTGATGGGTCACACTTACAACATGGAGTTGTAAAAATGCAAGCAAAGTTTTTTATGGAGCTTTATTTATACATTTTGAATACTTTGCGCTTTAAAATAAACATCTAGATGTCTGTTCAGTAGTCCCTATGTAACAGACAACACAAATGAATGGTGGAGAATGTGATAAAAATGTGCAACACTTAATGTTCTACTACCAAGTTATACACTGCCATTCAAAATTTTGGGATCAGTAAGATTTTGAATGTTTTTAATGGAGTCTATGGATGCTCATCAAGGCTGTATTTATTTGATCAAAAATACAGAAAATCAGTAATATTGTGAAATATTATTGCAATTTCTAATATTGGTTTCCTTTTTTAATATACTTTGAAATATCATTTATTTCTGTGATGCAGCGCTGAATTTTCAGCATCGTTACTCCAGTCTTCAGTGTCACATGACCCTTCAGAAATCATTCTAATATGCTGATTTATTATCAGTGTTGAAACAGTTGTGCTGCTTAATTTCTTTTTGGAACCTGTGATACTTTTTCTTTGATAAATAAAAAGTTCAAAAGAACAGCATTTATTCAAAATAGAAATCTTTTCTAAATCTTAACTTTTTATTAGGGGTGGGACAATATATCGATATGGCAATATATCGTTGTCCTTCTCCATGCGATACGAGAATCGATATCTGGCGCCAAATATCGATATTTTACTACAATACATTACTACAATAAGGTGCTCTATATAGATTTCCCTGCTCCCAGCATCTAAAAAATGCATGGAAATCCTGGCCGCGCCATTTCCACCTTCTTTCCAAAATGCTCTGAGCAACCATGAACCGCGTTCTCTATGAAGATGGGGAAGCACGAGGAACCGAAGGATAAACAGATTTCCAGCCACTGTATTAGCTCTACTGCTATATATATATGTTTATGGAAATGAGAACTAAAAAACTGCCCCGGAACAGCTATCGGCGTGGACCATAGGCACCGATCACGTTATTATTGCAGAGCGCGTATTCAGTCCATGAGTAGCCTAACCTCTCCGCTCGGATCGCAGATGGATTTCCCTCATTTGAGTGAGAGAGAGCTCCGCCGGCGAGTCCAGTTTTATGTCAACAAAACTGGATGCTCTCTCTCTCTCAGATATTGCAAGTGTGCGTTGTGCAGTGGGCACCGACCAACAGAAACATAAATCTGCACCTATGGCATGGACGACAAAACCTCGTCAGAGCCGTAATGCAGCACAGAAGTGTGTAGTGTGTACTTGGCGCACGTCTACATTTGAAATAACGAACCTGAGTGCACAAAAGACGTGATGTGAACGGCTTTTTTTCCCTGCATGTCATGTCCGGGGCTCCGTTTTTATGATGAGTGGAGAGGAAAGGTTGAGAAAGCACTCCAGGTAAATTTTGAAATGTACCAGGTTTATACAGTATATAGGCTATATATAAAGTTGATAAGCAGTTAAATGTGTTGGTTTATTAAATATAATTTTAGAATTGTCTAGCAATATATCGATTATCGCAGAATCGATGTATCGTGATATTATCGTATCGTGAGCCATGTATCGTGATTCATATCGTATCGTGAGGTACCCTGCGATTCCCACCCCTAATTTTTATCCATTTAAAGGGGTCATATGATGCGATTTCTAAATAAAACAATTACTGAGCCCAAACGTTTTAATAGTAATGTATATTGTAACACAAAATTTCTATTTTGAATATGAATAGCATTAGAAACTTCTTTAAAAAACATTAAAAATCGTACTGATCCCAAACTTTTGAACGCCAGTGTATGTAATATCCAATTAATGTAAGTTAATTTGAAAGTTGTTCTCAAAATGAAATAAATCTCACCTAATTTTGAGATAAAGTTGTACACAGGAAAAATGGCAGAGTTGTTTTTCCAGAGTTAATATTTTTTTCCTCAAAAATAGTTGTTTTTACTCTATTTTGAGTGTACAGAGTAAAATGTGTCAGTAGAGTGGGAGCAAAATAACAGATAATCAGACCATTGATATGGTTTATATTGAAGATTCTTTAAACTTTAGGAGATACCGAGGGCACGTCAGCGTCTGATGACCTAGCAATGTTAATTAGAATTCCTCCTGAAAAAATCAAGTTGAGGAACGTCGTCTTGCCCAAGTAAGAATCACCAGTCTTGCCTCTGAATTACATCTATATAGAATGACTTAAATATTAAAGATATTTGGAGCTATATACACTTGTCAATTGCTAATTTCTCATCTCTGCTCTGCAATATTACATCATTCCTTCCTCCAGATGTTCGAAGATAAAGGGATAGTTCACCCAAAAATGAAAATTCTGTCATTAATTACTTTAATTACTTAATTGTCATTAAAAATAGTTTCAAACCCATAAAAAAACCTTCATTTTCATCTTCGGAGCACAAATTAAGATATTTTTTGAAGAAATCCGAGAGCACTCTGACCCTCCATAGACAGCAAGGGTACTACCACAAGGCCCAGAAACGAAGTAAGGACATTGTTAAAATAGTCCATGTGACATCAGTGTTTCAACCATAATTTTACGATGCTACGAGAATACTTTTTGTGCGCAAAGAAAACTAAAATAACGATTATTCAACAATTCTTCTCCTTCAGGTCAGCATCCTCAGCCATTATCGAGAGTACCATGATGCATGCGTGTGAAGCTGCTGACATCGAACATGCATGTGCTGCGCCTTGCTTACGAGCAGAGGAAAGCGTGCGCATGCGTCCTGATACTCTCATTAATGGTGGAGGACAGTGACTTGGGGGAGAAGAAATTGTTGAATAAAGTCGTTATATTTGTTTTCTTTGCGCACAAAAAGTGTTCGTGTAGCTTCATAAAATTACGGTTAAACCACTGATGTCACATGGACTAATTTAACAATGTCCTTACTACATTTCTGGGCCTTGAACGTGCATCCTTGCTGTCTATGCAGGGTCAGACAGCTCTTGGATTTCTTGAAAAATATCTTAATTTGTGTTACGAAGAGGAACGAAGGTCTTATGGGTTTGGAACGACATAAGGGTGAGTAATTAATGACAGAATTTTCATTTTTGGGAGAACTATCCCTTTAATGATCACCTGTCCTCTAAATTGTTGTTCTTGTGCTATTATTTTCTACTTAGCACATTTGGTAACAATCTGTTGGAAGTATGTACAACAGAAACTTTAGTGGAAGACAGACATCACTGTATCTTTATCCATGCTGTATTTTGACTTTAACTGTAAAAATGTGTTTTCATCCTTTCACAGACTGTTACCAGTATCCAAGGGCACTTGGATAGCATTGGAGAGTCTCCAGCTGTATCTGCTTGTTGGGCTGAAGAGAAGTAGGGTCCAGTCTTGTTTTATTGTAATTGTCCAACATGCTCTACCCTGTAAGGCCTCTAATTCACTGGCCTGTGTTGATGAGCTTTTCAAAGCTCACTTTGTCTTAAGAACTTCATACTGTCAGGAATTGACCATTGTGTATAGCTTTCTGCAAAACACTGCCTATGATATAGATGCTGAAACCATCAAGTGATCATAATCACAAGTGAATTAAATGTAATACTGTTTAAATAGGAGCTTGAAAAATAAAATTGAGATATGAGTATACAGTTTGTTGTTGACTTTATTTTCAGATTGAAAAATAAGTTTTTCATTTATATTTTAGGGCTTTTGAGGATAAAACATGAAGGGTGTAATTTAGAAGATTAACTCTGGATAGAGTTAGTTATTCATTAAAGTTCACTCATAATTGATGATAAACAACTCTGGAGGGGAGGTAAATTGTGGTAGAGTAAATTTGACTTTCCTCTGAACAGAGTTAAAAAGTCGCAGAGTCCATTTCTTTTACCTCTGAACTGAGTAAAATAGAGTCCATTTCTTTTACCTCTGAACTGAGTAAAATAGAGTACTAAATTGAACTCTGGAAAAACAACTCTATCAAAAGAGTAACTTTTACTCTTTTCAGAGAGGGACCAAAGGGACCAAATGATAGAGTAAAATTTTCTTCAATTTGAGTAAATTTTACTCGGGCAAATTTACTGTGATATAAATATAAGGGAAAATAAGCTTCTCTTCAGCAAAAACTACTCTTGGGAAAAATAAAGGTATAAAACATTAATCACATTTTTCCATTATGAAAGATTTTTCATGAAAGACAGCTTGAGTTTGGAGGGATTTCAACACTAAATCAGAGCAGTTTGAATGTAGTCAAGCACTAAAAAGAAAGTATTAGCTGAATCTCTTCATCAGAAATTCAAAGCAGAGGCAGTTTTTCATCCAGAACAAGCTCTGCGACTGCAGTCTCACCAAGAGGGGAAAAAACAGACACGAAAGGTCACGTTTACCCAAAGAAAGTAGAGAACAGACAGCTCAGAAACACTCTCTGCTTTGCTGTGAAACATTTTGGAGTTCTTGAGCACTAGTTCTACTCCAGAGGACAATCGCTCTTTCATAGCTCAGTGATTCATTTCAACACCAAACTTTGTCACGGATCGTTCTCTTAAAATTCTTTAGGTGAAATAATATAAAGTAAGTGTGAAGCTCTATAAAATTCAGGTGGCTAGCATAGATAATATGGTCTTGGGAGGATTTGATGATAAATACTGAAAGTTGAAATGTCTAGCTTGTGACCACAGTATGAGACATTGTACTTCTGAAACTCTTGAAGAGACGCGAGTTTCCTGGGTCTTTTCTCAGAAGTCAAATCTGACTAGACTTCTCAAAAATCTACGTTTGTTCTCCTTTTAATGATGTTTTCATGGTGAAACAGTTGGCATATAAAAGTGATTTTCCTTCCTGTTGAACACTAGTTCAGTACAGTAGAGTGAAAATACGCATGTTATTTACAGAAGGGATGAGCTGAAATTGATCCTGCTTGGGTTAAAGAGCAGCTACTGTGGCGAGACATGTGTCAGTATGTCATAGCCCAAGGGTCAGTGATTAACACTGCTGTTATTCCCCAGCGTCCCTCTCTCTGTCTGTCTCTCTGGCATTGGGTGTGGACTGATATGACATTTACCATCTAACTGTTTCTGTTTTATCT